AATTTGATTCTGCTCAATATATTTTCTCTTATAAATTGCTACTGGTAAGAGTAGATGTTTACAAGTGGGTAATAAAAATGTGAAACATGCATAGTGAAAATGCCAGAATTAATCAGCATTGCCAAAAACAACTATGAAGAAAATGTGCACTGACACAAACAAGAGAAAAAGAATACATTGAAAAAGAGTAGAACACAAACAAACAAACAAACAAACAAACAAACAAACAAACAAACATTTGTACATATTTGTAGAGTTTGCATTCAATTAAAACTGGGTGTGAGTTTCATGTGGTTGAACCCAATGCGTGGATATGGGGATCTACATTATGTGGTTAGATGAGTCATCATTAAATAATAATAATATCAGTAATAATATTAAAAATATTGGTAATAATAACAATATAAGTAATAATACCACCGCCGGTACTATTTGTACCACTACTGATGGTAATGATAATACTAAGAAAAAGACAACAAAAAAAATCAAATGAAGCTAAATAAAGATATGAATGAAAACATGAATTGAAATAATGATAAAAGAAAGATGAGAATTGGTAACAAAATATATATGTTTCCTTTTTGTTAATTACGTCATCTGCTATTTCTCCGTTCCTTTTTTTCTTGTCCATGGAGAGAAATGCGGTCTGTTTGGGACTTAAACGAGCGCAATAAAGTTAAACTTCATCACTGAGGAATTTTAAGATCCAAAGAGAACCGACACCTTATAAGCACATCTCCGTGTGCGTGGAAAGTCCTGACTTGAAGCGCACTACTGACACAGTAGGTGCCAGTAAGGAATCAAAAGTGCAACAACGTGCGTGTGATTGTGCGCTCGTGCCCTGATGACGTTACTGTGTAGTTACAACATCAACAATATGGTTCGGGGTGTTTTGGCACTGACTTACACAGCACCTCCCGGTGCAGAATAGGCATACAGCGTGGAAATCTAAGTTCCAGGTCTGGATTTATTTCCGTCATTTTATCCTGCATATTTATTTTTGTTTAAAAAAAGCACGGAGAAGGTTTAGGACCACTATGAGCGCGAGGTAAGTGCGGAGGACTGGTTTGTCTACTTTTCAAATGAAAATGAAATGAAATACACAGAAAGTTGTTCGCCCTCTGATCATACAATAAGTGTGTTTTCTGAACCAGGTCCTCAGACCGTGTCTGACTCGATGGCACAGAAACCGTCCGAAAGCATGCAGTGCACGGACAGGCTGAGCTCCTCGACTGTTAACCACGTAATAATAGAGTTCGTGATGTACTGCGGGAGAGCGGTGTTCATCTGCTACCCTGTGTATCTGTTAGGCTATCTGGGCATCAACATCAGCTGGGTATTGCTGTGCGTGTTTATGCTCACCTACTGGAAGAAAAATCGCCAATGGAAAGTCGCCCGGATCACATCAGCCATCGACTTAGTGGACAATGAAAAACGCGCGATCAAAACCGAGCTGAGAAGTGCCTTACCGATGGCATCCTGGGTATGTTGTGTTTTTCTGTTACAGCCTAAACTTCTGAGGGAGGTTTTTAATCACCACACCTCTTCGTCTTCCACCAACGCCGTCATGCATGACACTGTGACACGTCAACTTTTAACTTTAATGTCCAAAAGTTGATTCTGTTCATCTGGACGAAGCGTTTTGTGGGAGAAACGTTTCACTTGGATGAGTGACGAAACGTTTCTCCCACAAAACGCTTCGTCCAGATGAACAGAATCAACTTTTGGAGATTGACTTACCTGGATGATTGAGCATGCATCAAGATTTCAACTTTAATGCTTTTCCCCCAAAGGTGCAATTCTCTGATGTAGAGAAGGTTCACTGGCTTAACAAGGTACAGTATTCAAACATTTTTCACATGTTAAGAGTGATATTATCTATTAAGTCCTTTTTTTAAACAGGTTCTCTCGGTGAGATTGAAATCTCTTTTTCAAGAAAGATACCAAGACTAAAAACAGGTGCAAGAGTAGTTGCAGATGCACAAATACAACAATTTAAAATTTTCACATTATGCACTGTGATACGCAGAATTTAATTCAAATTAATTCAATTCAATTTTATTTATACAGCGTCATATCACAACAACAGTCACCTCAAGGTGCTTTATATTGTTAATTAGACCCTACAATAATGCATACAGACAACATATGACTCACTGAGCAAGCACTTTGGAAACAGTGTGAAGGAAAAACTCCCATTAGAGACCTTAAGGTGGATATAGATGCACTCATAAAACAATAGCACCATAATCGAGTGGAGACAAAATTGTGGGTTGTGCAATGATCTTGCAGCTTATGAATGAGAGATAAAAAAAAACTATATAAAAACCAGATCTTCATCTTTTTTCTTTTTTTTTTTT